TAATGCACTAAATATCACAGAAACTTTGGATGTACATTTAATTTGGATTTCAAGTGCTACCAACATGACATTCAAAATGTTTTCATCAAACAACTATGAATATATGGAAAGAGGAATTGAATACCTATTACACTGGTTGGAAATGAATGCTTTCGTCAAAGGGAATGCATTGGCTAAGCTTTAGCTTTCACCCAATTTGGATCACCTTGGCAATGCACATTAGGATGCATATTAATCTCACTGTAATTAGCTAGCTATTAGAGGCTATAATTCTATGCGAGATAGAGACGCATCAGTTGAAAGGAACATGCTTCCCTAGATTCTCTGATGCTGTTCAAATCCACTCTAGAGGTATGTGACACTTGAAACCAATCTAGACGGCGCCTCTTGGGGATCAGTTCACACCCTGAAGGTGAAACACGTCGTCAAGGGTCGGTTAGTTTCGTTGGATAGCACTTGGTAGCCTGTCCATCTCACATATAATGCTGCATATACATCTCAACCACCTACACCACATCTCTACCTATACTGTTTAGTTGGCTTCTCGATCATTTTGCTTCGGTTGTCGGCTTGTGAACCCGCTGATTGGTAGTTGCAATTAACGTCCACTACGGATCTGCCTCGCGAATCACTAACATAGAACCAGAGGTCATGTGTCATTGTTGCGTACATGTGGCAGAAATACCTGTCTGCCTGATGTACGATATATTCCGATGAATAGCAATCAATTTAAGGTCAAACTATCAGATGAATTTTTCAAGTTTATTACTCATCCTGGAGTTTATCGAATCATTTCATAAATCATTCCAACTACTCTAGCTAAAAATGAAGTTTACCACTTGAAATGTTAATGCTTTTTTAGATAAGATTGAGATTTTCTTATTCTGATGTTAAAATTGATAGAAAGGAATCTAATCCTAGTAAATAATTCCATTTCCTGTTCTCTAAATAGCATCAAAGATTTTTCCATCAATAATCATTCTACATAAACCTGATTCATACATGCACTTCAATGTAAAAATAATATAATCTATTTAAAATAAAAAATAGTGAGCTAAGATAGAACAAAAATAGTTGAATCTACCAGAATATCAATAATCCAAATGATAAAAGTTCCTAGAAAATTAAAACTTCTGCTCCCAAACATTGTGATGATCATTCAAAAGTAGTTTAGATGAAGTTACCAAAATAAAAAGAGAAATACATTTTCTATAGTCGTCGTAGATTAATATTTTTTTGTGGAAACTATCTGATTAATACTGTGATGCACCTGGTGCCAGAAAATATACACTTCTCATACACCCTTGCAGTTAGCTTGGTAGGAATTAACCCATGGAGCAGAGTCGTGTTGTGGTCCAGGATGTATGCGCGATAGGTTATGGTGTATGTAACATGTGCTTCTAATCTGCCGGTATATCAACAATAATGGGCCTGGAAAGCGAATAGAATAAAGTACAGAGGAGAAAAGACGTAGGGTGGAGAATGTATTTAGAGAGGGTTAGAAATTCAACTTTAATTTCTCGCAAATCTCTCAATAAATTTAACTGAAATGATCAACGAATATCATTACAGTGAATGATACCTTGTTATGATGGAATTTAATGATCTATTGCTTTGCTGTCATTCTAGCGTATTAACATGGATCCCACTAATATCTTTGCGTAAGTGATATTTTAAATACAACCACTGATTTACTGCGTCAATTGCATCCAAAGCGGATATTAATTCGCGGATACATGTATATCGATGATGATGTGGGGAGCGGAACTAAGGGGAGGAGTAATAGGTAACGACGATAATTTAGATGCCACATCTTCAATCTTAATCGTATAGTAGCGTCAAGTGATAGATGTGATGTTCATCGTTCCGCGAATCCGACCTTCCTTGCCCTCTTTATCCCCTCTTGGCACCTCCTGAGATATCTCAAACTTCACCCTATTACAACGGCCTAATTATACCACTGATAGGTAAAGCTTATATTACATATAATCGGCAATTACTAACGTCTCTAATCTAATCCAATTTCCTATCCCACAACGTTGAAAGTCGTCGAAAGTTTCCAAAAGGGGTTGAGATCACGACATACTTGTCTTTATTAAATAACATTTATTATAAACATTGCTACTTAATTAAATTTTTACTATCATGTTTAAATTATTCAGTCATTTGTGATATTCATTTATCATTTTAGATAGCAAAAAGTTTATTTATGAATCAAGTGAGAGGTTTGAGGAATGAAAAATTATCCTACTTTTTGAATTATTAATATGACCCTGAAAAAAAGTTTCAAACATATTGATCAGATAAAAATGGATTTTACAAATTAGAAAATCAAGTATTTTTAAAAAAGTTGCTGTTTTATCTCCAGCTTATGAATAATATCCTGTAGCTGTTGCTCTAAATAAACGTTGAGTTACTGATGGCTCACAAATTTTATTTCTGTGTTAAAACATGAAAATACATAAATAGTAAGATATTATTAAAACAACATATTTGCAATGTAAACATTAAATTAATAATAATAAGATGCTATCATTATCTATTCAAGAATATAAGGGTGCTATTTTTATTTTCGCTGTCGATTGTATGATATTGTGATTCGAATTTAACTTCCTTAATCGAATTGTTTTTCGAGAAATTGAGTCTGAATATTAAGTACAAAATCATTCGAATGGATAAACTAAAGATCGAGTTGAATGTCGAAAAAATAAATTTCTATTTCTCTTTTAAATTCAAATGAGAGTTTTTAGTATTCATTGTATGAATGTTAGAAATTTTTAAATGCCTTTCCTTTTGTGATCAAGGAAAACAATTCACACTAAAATACTTTATTCTATTTTAAACACCATTAAATTCTCTACTCATCAGTGAACGTAACATCCAGAAAACTAATAAACAATATGAGTAATCAGTGAATACAATCTAGAATAATTTTAACAAAAGAAAAATATTCCAAATATTTCCTCTATAAATTTTTGTGTAATGTGAATGTAAAAGTCATGTTAATAAATGAAATATGTAACCATGGTACAACCATACCCTGCGTTGCTGTTTACTTCATTACAACTATTTCAACAGTGTAATTACAAAACCAACCAGTTATCCTCACAAAATTATTTTTCATGTTAGCAAAATAAATTGTGTGATTTCATAATAAAAAATTCCATTGTTGAAATTCATTATGTTACTTTTTACTTTCAAAATATGAATCTCTAAATCACCTCAAGAGGAATGAAAGCTTAATTATTTATTATATTTTCAAGTTAATTTTTATTGATTTACTGTTCAAGATTAAGATCACTTTTGAAGATTAGTTAATTCAAATTTTAGCAAATATTCAATTTATAATCCTGCTAATGACAGAGTATAAAACTTTTAAAATTAGAATATATCTCCACTTCATTCAGAATGCTACTCACTAACCTAGCTGACCAAAACCTGGATCATATTTGACACCTTTGTCTCCAACGCAAATGAGGAGTCTTGAAGTTCCCTAAAGACCCTGAGTGCTCTTTGTTGAAGGAGCTGGAGATGTTGATACATGTTGAGGCATGAAGACACGTCTTGATTACTTCCTTTATATTCATCTACTAATTTATATCACAAATTTGGTGAACACTATTTTCTATTTTATTAACTGCTAAGTTATTTTTACTTTTTTATGTTTATTGTATTTGATTAATGGATCAAAGTGTGCTTGGCTGAAAGCTCTAGGGTGATGACTGGCTGCAACATCTAACAAGGTTGCAACTATCACATAAAAATATAAAGAATTTGAAAGAAACCTCCACATGTTGCTTTCAACAAACTTTCATTGGTAATAAATGAAATTTTCAAGTTTCACTCAAATACAAGAAAAGATTACTACTTTTTTATGAATAGTCAGTTGGAAAAATAAAAATAAGAATCACTGACAAGCTTAAATCTATACAGATTGGAGGATAAAGCGAAATTGTGGCAGATAAACGAAAGAATAAAAAAAAAAAAAAGATGAAAGAGGCCAATCTGTTGAGTTTAATCATAGTAAGTGTTGGAGTTAGACCTGTAGGCCTATCGGATTACAGCAAACCCTCTTAGAAATGACGCTGTTATCTTTTCTTCTTTCCATATTCTTTTGTTCCCTTGATACTAGAATTTTTGCTTAACATTGTTTTGAATTATAAAATAAAATTTGCTTAATAAATTTTTATCCGTTGTCTCATAAATATTATGTTATTAAATGATAAATTTTCTTGTCTGTTTCAGGTAAGAATCATCAACTTATCCACTGAATCATTTTTCCATCAAATAAGTGAGTCCAAGGCTTTGAAACATTTTTAAAATTATTTCCATCACAAATAAACTTAATTTATTTGTGATGATGGAACTAGAATAAATAATTTAGAGATTCTGTAACAGTTAATCTGTTGAGAAACATTGATGTATCGATAAAAAATTCCAATTCATAACTGTTTATTTGTCGTAAAGGTTCAGAGGCTTTAAAGAATTCGCAAGATCCTATTCTCTTGTAGCTGGGGTACTATAACTTGAGTCGTTTTTTTATAGCAGAACATGTAAGCAGCTTGAAGAGGAAACTTGTCTGCCTAGCGTTAAAAAAAATTAGCTCTCTTTCTTGTTATCATCTCCAACGTGTTACGTAAAATAAAAGCTAAATTTTCTTAAGACTCTACTAGGTTTTTATCCTTTTCTTTTATCCTCATTTACTTTCCACGTGCCTGAACGCAATATAGTTAATAATTATTTAATGACTGTCTTCAGAAATCTTTCAAATTATCCATAATACATCAGACTCTCAAGTAGCTATCATTTAATTGTATTTTAAAATAACTTTCAACTAATTTTTAAGAAAAAAAAGGTTTAAATTATTTTCACTCAGACCATCATGTGATGATCTATAAATTTCGAAATAAGTCAAAAGAGCAACAACATCATTTATTGCTAATTCATGTAGCGAAACGCAATAAAATAAAGTAAAATCACAACAACTTGCGTGAACTTACCCCTTGGGTCCTTTATCCTTCAGCAGTAAACGGAGCAAGCTATAATACTGCTTTTACTCGTCTCTTTTCCCCTTCATCCTTTTATATATAGTACAACAAACATATTAAATGATACTAAATTTCCCCTGTGATCTTCCTGAGACGATTACCATTCTCTTTGCACTACACACCCGTCATTTTATTTGATGTTTATTCTTGAGAAATCTGGAAGCAATAGTTAACATTTATTTTATTTAAATTTGCTACTTATAAAGATTATAAAAAAAGAGTATGCCGTCCAATTTTTAACTTACTCCGTTTTGAATTCAACAGACTGGAAGCTGTGATGATTCTCACGTTTTAATCTGAAAAAAAATAGGTGATAAGTAATTATGATCATCAAGTGTTTGGTTGTTAAGTAATTTGAACTAAGCTATTTAATTAAAATGTAATATGAAATATCAATTACATGAATCTATTTATATTGGAAAATTATCATTTTTAAATTATCTCGATATTATGATTTAGAAACAACTGCATCAATAAAAATCATCAACACAAGAATAATGTGTGACTTGGGAATAATTTCAGCTTTTTTTTCATCAGTTTATAATAAATAAATAGAAGAAGAAAATTGAAGATTAATAGTAATTGATGATATTCTGTTTTATATGATAATAAGTAGGATAAAATAAAATAAAGATTTCTAGAGACATATTCCAGAGAACTTTATCTATTTTACAGATTCATAATTGATTAAACATATTCAGAAGAATAATTCAACATGCGTGTGACTTTCAATATCATTTTAGATGCATTGAAAAACATCAGAATGTTGCTGTGGGTAAAGATAGGTGTTTCTTCTGGATGGGCCTCTAGAGGGTAAAACAAGAGAGGAAAGTCGTCTCATGTCTGCTCACTCGCACATTCATGGAATATCTTAGCAAGTTAGTGTGTTCTTCTGCCGCTGTTGCAACAGTTGGTATTTCTCGGGTTGGATGGAAAAGCAAAAAAAATAAATATATAGATACACATATATAAATCCATATATAAAAAGTTTTTCAAGGGCTTGAAACTTTTTTAATTTTTTTCTTCGTATTTTCTACAAAGTGATGAATTATTTCTGCCGGATGAATGTATTTAGATCGACTTTCTTCAATTGAATACTGAGTATTATAAATTGAAATTCTCAAGGATTTATTGAAAAATATAAAGCTCGAATGAAAGCTCATATAAACAAGGGTTAATGAAAAAAAAATGATGGTTTAAATGATTGTAGAAAAGTGAATTAAGAAGTTTTTTTAATTTCACTTTATAAATCAGTTGTTTATTTCTATTTATTTAATTCAAGTTAAATGCACTGTTAACTAAGTAAAGTCTTTCAATATAATATTTTTCTAAAAAAAATTTCTATAATTTTTAAAATTCTTTCATGCTAAAAGTATGAAGAATACTCAATTTCATTCAATCCAACTACTCTAGATGCTATCAAAACCTATTAGAATAGAGGTTTCATAACGTCCAACGTCTCATAATATCGCATGATTAATTTTTAAATACATCAGGGTAAAGTTGAAATATAGGTTGTGTTTTGAAAGTCAACTTATGAGACTTCTCTATTAAAATGAATAGATAATTATCATGAAAACTGGATTACTATATTTAAAACTAGAATCTTTCCATTATGAAACCCATTAAAGTTTCTTTCAACATCAAAAATAATATATTTTTTAAGAACATCAGAATATAATCAACTATCAAAGCATTAATATGATGATATTTGATAAATTAAAGTGTTTTTATAACCAACCAAGATAGTTGATGTATAGATCACATTTCTGGAAAATGTTTCAATCAGCTTCAACCCAAGAACCAAAGTTACTTAATCTAGAATTTCCAGTTGCTGATAATACTTCAAAATCAAGAAGTAAGAGAGTTTGCAAGATCTTATATTGGCAAGGGCTTCAGAACTACACCAATTAGATGTTGCATGAAAGCTTCCTGAAAGGGAATCTATGAGAAATCGTTCTAGAGATGATATTCATCGTTTTCAATTGTCAAAAGATATACTGACATCAAGTTTAGGTAGCTCAGGATCCAAATCTCAACGTCTGAAACGTAAATTTCCTGAAGCTATATAAGGAAGAGTGGAAAAGGCAGTGGGACATGACGACGACAACTCAGTAAGCTGACATTTAATCGTCGACATTCCACCGCAAGGCAAATGAATATCGTAACATCTTCATTTAGCTCTGAATCTTCTCTCGTTTTCATATATTTAAATGCGACTCTTTGTTTATATAGAGCTTTTCATTAGTTTATAATAAATAAATATTCCAAGTGTATATAAAGAACAAGATAAACTGAGTAGATTACGATTTCTAGAGTTTTATTTTTAAATTATGAATGAACAATCATAAATTAATTCTAAAAGACAGCCTTGGATTTAAATAAATATTTCAACCCCTACAATTACAAAAGTAGAATTAATTTGAAATATTTATAATCCATTGACTATCCATACTAAATGTAATATATTTATAATATCTAATCAACTTTAGAGGTGGTAGGATAACGTTTTGCTAATTTTCGAATAAAGTGGAAGGTTAATGAGAAATATTAATGTTACATACAAATCTGATACAACAATTACGTAATTAGCTCCATATAATTAGTAGTAAAGATTTTTCATAGGTTTTTTAGTTCATGTTAATGGTTAATTAACCAACGGCTTAATAACTATGTGACGGGGTTCGTGGTCAAGTTAGTAATGTCGCTCTGAGGTCACGTTAACGCCAACTCTCGAAAAGTTTATCTCCTCTTGCAGGTATACAAACCATAACGACGTTGTGGCCTAGAAACCATGACGTTAAATCCTGCGCTTCCGAGAATACAACCTAAAAGACAGAGAAAATATGAAAGGGGTATAAGTAAATGAATTTAGCAGAAAAAAGGGAGGAAATATTTTGTTAAAAATACTGAGAACATTACTTACATTTAAAAATGATATCTGATCCAGTTCTTCTGATCCAAACTTGAAGATTGCAATTATCAAAGAATTAGAGTAAGTCTTGGCAGGTAGTTATGTTGATTTCTGATAGGATATATTGAACATTCATGGGGCGTATAATTTCAGCTTCTTGAGGTGGTTTGTTAATTTCTTCCTCAGGTTACTGTGCAGCTTGCATTGCCACAGAATGTGGTTGAGATTCTCGTTGTATTTACCACATTTACACTTGCTGTTGCTTACTGTACATGAACGATCATGACATTGATACCAACATGAAGCTAGTCATTGTTTGATATTGTTTGGATAGATGAAAGGATTTTAAGAACGAAATAGTCAACCTCTAAAAATATTTGCAATTATTATAATTACTATTTTAGTTTGATGCATGAAAATATATTTTTTCAATCATGCAATATAAAAATTAGCAGTTGATTGATTAGTTCAAAAATTTATCTTTTTCTGCAATTCATTACGATTGTGGATCCCTAAAGGGTCGGGCAGGTGCGTAATCAGCTAGCATGTCATTGTGACGAACGGCTATCGCTAATTATTGGACGAGAGAGTAGTACTATGTATGTCGGATGTAGAGAGCAATGGAACCACACAGACGCCAATTGGTATCGACACATTAGGGAGTTGCAAGCACCATCAACGAGAGAACTCGCGCTAGAGTAAATTTACTACGTACTAGTTCAACCCAACATAAAGCAAAAAAATCAGAAACTTTTACTTAATGACTACGTTGAGATTGAAGATTACATTTTCTTTCTCTAAATAGTTGAAGAGCATTCAAGAAATTCAAGATGATATTAATTGATCAACTTTTTTAATACACTTTGAATAAAAATCATGAAACAATGATCATAAAAAAGGAAATAATAAGTGAGAAAGGTTTTCATTCTTCCAATCACTTTCTCCAAATCATTATGAAATAAAAGACTGAGGTATTATTGTTGGTGATTGCTTTAGAAAGCTAGAAATTTCAATAAAATCTAAAAACAATCATAATCATAATAACATATGTTGACCCAATTTTTCATTGACGCAACATGAAAATAATGAAAATGAAAAAAACTAGATTTTAACAAGACGCCACTTCTCATTCAAATGATTGAAACTCGAAATGCACAATGCAATACTCGAATGCGATCGTTCGATCGAGAGGCTGGCATTGATTCGGTAGACAATTAAGCTCGGATTACACGAGATGGATCGCTTTATGTGCCTGCGGGCTAAATGGATACACATAGCTGAGATTACTCTGTTCGATACATGTCCTTGTTTAATGCTTGTATACCCTCTTGAACGCAATTACATTTCTTGCAAAAGATTCTATACTTCTATAAATCACATTTTATTATTCCACCAGTCCATATATGTGTGTATCTTTCATGTACAAAAAATACCCTGTTTTTTACATTTATTTAAATAATTAGATGAGATGGAGAACTAGTGAGCTGGATGGTCAATGATTGAATCAAACTCTATACGACCTTTAATTTGTGTTCTGTAGGCTTTAATAAGCTTTAAGTACGTCAATACTTTCCAAATTGATAAAGAATTTATTCTACATAAATTATATAGATTTTTTTTAATTTATTTATATTGACTTGAGAGTATATTGTTAGATAGATGTTGAGAGAATGTGGGAAACTGTAACAAAGTTTATGAACTCTTGATCGAGCCTAGATTTAGCAGAAAAATGATTCCATTCTGAGGCTCTAAATGAAGTTGAAATATGTAGGGGCTTTGGTGTATTTTAAACTCAATATGAACTTTCAAATTTTTCCTACAAATCTTGAAATTGAAACGAGAGTTAACTTTTCCACTTTGGTGGTCATTTAGTTTCTAATTGAGATTGACAGGAAATATTACTGGCTATTAATTGATATAATCAAAAAATTGAATGAAAATAGAAACATCTGCTAAATGTCAAACTTTGTTCTCCATGTGAATTTCTATGTTTGTGATTAGATATCGAAAGAAATTAGTCATTTTAACAATAGAAAAACTGTCATGAAAAATCAATATAAGGATAATGAAGAAGGTGCGGAAATGATTAAATGTCATCAATGACTTTCATTTGGAAACTTTGTTGAGACTAGGGTTCATAGATCATGAAAATCATAAGAGAAAAGTTTATTATTAAATATAAAATATTTAGCTCAGGATTCAAAACAATCTTTTTAATTGTTATCTTCAAGAAACTCTAAGAGTTTTCTAATTATGAGTTAATTTATTACAAAACTTTCTCAAGTTTTGGAGTCTGTGATCAAATCAAAATTGTTAGCAAATTTTCGAAAACTTTCTAAAATCATCTTGAAAATCTTCTAGAATTTAG